TAAATAATTTTAATAATTTTATGTAACTTAAGTTGCATAAAATTTATGTTTTATATACTGTTTGTTTTTATTCAAAATTATTAAAATTATTTTTATTCAAAACATTTGGAACAATGAAAATTTAAATAACATTACTAAACGTTAAACGAATAAATATTTATTTAAGTATATTTGAAATGTATTAAACGTATTGTATTCAAAAGACTATTGTATAAGTACCTTTGTTTGATTTTTTAGCATACTGTTTAAAATAAATAATGCCGCATTATATAATTTCCTTCAAAATGAATATACAAAATTTTTAAATTAGCGAGCGCGTGGATTGGTTAATGTTAGTAAACGCATCTCATTTTAAAATATATCTTCGTACATAATACTATACTAGGATACTTACATATGTATGTATTATAATTACTATAATAATAAGTAACAATTAATAAGAAAACGTTTTAATAATATTTTTTTTATTTTAATTAATTAAGAAACAAAGGAATATAATATAATGACTGGAAATGATTTCATTTGTATAATATATTTTTAGTTTAATTTTATTTTATGAAAAAACATTAACAAATATTTACATAAAAATAAAAACATAATAGTGCCAAATAAATTGAAGATATAAATGAAAAAGAAAAACAAAAATGACAAAATGGTCGGGACGCGACCACTCAAGTTTCGAAGAAAATTAATGTAATGTTAAACATTTTTATCTCAATTTCTTAGAACTAAAGTAAAGATTTTTAATATTGATTTCAAAGAAAATTGATGTAAATTTATGTGAAATAATAACATAATTATACAATATAATGTTTGCGGTTTGTAAGTAAACCTTGATTAAAGTAATTGAGAATGTTCTACAAAAGTCATTAATTTGATTGCAGTTTTATCGAGCAAGATTGCGTGTCGGGCTTCTGGACGTGGTTGTTCGTATTGTCGAAGCTACCCGAGCTCGGCGACACGATCTTCATCGTGCTGCGCAAACAGCCACTGATCTTCCTGCACTGGTATCATCACATTACCGTCTTACTGTACTCCTGGTTTTCCTATTCGGAGCACACCGCGTCCGCGCGATGGTTTGTCGTGATGAACTACTGCGTCCACTCGATCATGTACAGCTATTACTCTCTGAAGGCGATGCGATACAAACCACCTAAAGTAATCTCCATGGTGATCACCACACTACAACTTGCCCAGATGGTGATCGGTTGCTATATCAACATATCTGCCTATCAATACCTGGAGAGCGGCAACGTGGACTGCAACATCTCTCGCATGAATATCCATTTTAGCTTCGCGATGTACTTGAGCTACTTTGTTCTATTCGCGCGTTTCTTCCATAAGACGTACCTGGCTGGAAAGAAGACCAACAAAAAGCACTTTGCCAATAGCGCACCTGATCACATCGGCTATAACGACAAGCTCAAAGTCAACTAAGGCGTTAATTGGTACACTAAGACGCTCTTTTCTCTATCTTTCGCTCCTCTTCCCCCGCTCTTTTTCTGTCCCTCAACTTTCTTTTTTTATTTTCCTCCATTCTTCTTTCACTATTTTTTCTCACGCCGCTGGTCGACGTAGCCATACATCCAGGATCTATTCATGCTAGAAAATATTAGGGTTTAACGGCTTCTAGGATTCACGTGTTTTTAGTGAATACTATCGCTAAACTTAAAGTTTTATATGCGTTTTTTAAATAATAATATGATTGATTTATGATTATTTCCATTTTCTTTTTCTACTTCAAAATTATTTTGTTAAATAATTGTACATTAATTGAATGTATTTATGTTAATATGTATATATTTTTTAATTGAATGTAACAGTGTAATTTCGAATATATATATTTTTTATGTAACTTTTAACATAAGCGTTTTATGTTCGTTTTGTTAATACTAAATAAATACGTTTTTATTTATTTGAGATAATATTTTTTTAAGATAGGAGATATTAGTTTCAGGCCTCCAGAATGTAGACTTGCCATTATATTGGAATCTCCCTTCTAAAATAAAAATTAATTAGTAATTCATTAGTACGTCGAAATGTAAAGTTACATACATAGAGCCTAAAATACACGCTCTAAATTTTTAGAATTTGTAAATACGTCTGTGACAAGAATTTAGATTTATAGAGTTCATATAGGATTCGTATATCCTAGGAACTATCGAATCTTAAGTTCACAAATCCTAGGCATCATATTTCTAAAACTCTATTTAGATTCTAGGAGCCGTACGTCCTAACAATTATAGATCTTGGGTGCGATGTTTCTCAGGATCCTTACATCCTAGGACTCGTAAGACAATTCTTGTGAATCACAGAATCTGTTAATTCTCGAGCCCATAGATTCTAAGATATATTTAAGATACATATTTCTCAGGATTCGTACAAGATCCTAAGATCTATCTTATAGAATTCGTGAAACAATGAATTGATGAAATTTTCGAGTCTACAACACCCAGGATTCATATTTCATGCGATCTTTAGATCCTACGGTCTGTCGATCCTTTCGTAGATTTTTTTAAGATCCTTAGGTCGTAGGATACATAGATTCTAATTAAGGATCCTTAGCCAATTAGTATCCGCCTATGCGCGGAGGATATCCTAAGGAGGAGGTTCGCTTGGAGGAGGAAATATATAGCGATTCTCCTCTTTTCATTTTTTTACGTGTAATTAATAAAGAGCTACTTTCGCATGTACCGTGGAAACGTGTGCGAGCGTTTCTCAAGTCCGACCGGCTGTTGCACAATTGTTATTATGATTTTTTGTTACTATCTATATCTCTTTTGCAATTGAATATAAATATATATATATATATATAT